GTAAAATGATAGATCTCTTAGTTGTATGGTTCCAGAGTATGGTGGCAAGGATTCAATATAAATAAATCTGAAGATTTTGTCCATTGATCACATATGAACTCATAGGAGTAAGGCCCATAAGTGTTGAAAGTTTCATAAAATAGTTATATGAAGTGGCTGACAGCATGTAAATTACCTCCTGACAGTTGGGAGTGTTAAACCTCATGTTGCTAAAATTGCGGTAAACATTTGATCTCGCTGATCTTATTTTCCACCCACCTCCTGAACGATACCAGCTTCCTATTATGTTCTTTTTGCTTTGCCGTTAGCGGTTTTTTACGGGTATGGAATCACAACATTTTTCTGCAATTTTTACCTCATCATTACCCTGGAGTTTACCCTATTTCCTTGGCTTTTTCACCTATTTCTAGTCCGTAACTGAGGTTTCAAAAACGTCTTAACTTCCTGTCTACTTTTTCTGGGTAAGGTCATAGCTTTTGCAAACTAAGCAGCATGTGCTTTACTACTGCAACATTGACTGATTGCCACATTAGTAAGATAACCAATACCACCGCCTATAGCTGCACCTGCAATTCCTAACCCTAACTGAGCACCAATTCCAATACTGGTACCAAAAATTAATGGAGCAAAGAAGTATAGTGCAACAGCACCTATTACTGCCCCAGCAACTATAGCCAATCCTATAAGTAAAGATCGTGTATTATTATTGCTTTGGCTGTTATCTGAACTGCTACTCTGAGTTATTATTGATGTTTTTGATGTACCGTTTTGGTTGCTATTTAAAGTGCTTTCTGGAATTATTGTCGGTCCTGGTGTTGGTTTTGACGTGGCGGTCTCTTGTGGTGAACTACTACTGCCTTGACCGTTGTTTTGTTTATTATCTGAGGCACTGTCTTGCATTACTGTAGGTTCTGGCATTGGTTTTAATGTAGCAGTCCCTTGTGGTATACTGACAGGATTAGTTTTATTTCCTTTGCAAGATTCTGCTGTTGTTTGATTTTTTGTTTCAAAAGAAGGATGACCTGAAATCATTGCTATCATTTCAGGGCGATATTTTTTCTGATTGACATTAGTCTTCACATTCTCACTAATTGTAGCACCTTCACCTAGAAGAAATTTTACAGCTTCAATATGATTGTTATCAGCAGCTTCATCTAGGGGACTGCGTTGCTTATTATCAAGCACATTTACATCTGCTCCATGCTCAACCAAGATTTCCATCAAGTCCACGCGTCCATACCTGGCAGCTATGTGCATTGGGGAAACACCATCTTTATCACTAATATTAGTATCTACGGCGTTTTCAGTACCAATTCTTTTTTGTAAAGTTTCTTCAAGGAGTGTTTCCCAACCAGTATTGGGGTTTTTGCAAGTCTTTTCTATAATATAATGCAGTGGTGCTTTATGTTCTATATTTTGCTTGTTAGGTTTAGTTCTTATATTAATATTCTCAACATATTTATATTTTTTCTCCTTTTTTACTAACTCTCCTTCTTTGTTTATCTTTCCTCCTACTAGAAAGCATGTTGCTTCTAGCAATAATCCCTCGTTAAGAGCAGCAAATAAATATAGTCTTCTTTTAGATCCGTCAGAACTTAAGTGTGACCCAAATAGAAATTCCATGATTTCCTGGACAGTCATTTTGTTAAAATTTTCCTCAACTTTAGCTACTTCCTTGCCTGTTAAGATAGCATATGCTTGATTTATTGCTTGCGTGTTTCCTTTCGCAATTTCTTTCTGTGCTTTATCTGCAATTTGCAACTTGTCAGGATGCCACTTGAGTACAAGCTTGTAATATGCCTTTCTGATCTCTCCTTCCCCTGGCTTATCTTTTGGGTTAAATCCTAGTACTTCAAGTGCAGCTTCACGTGTTTTTGGAATTGAAAACATAACTTACTCATAATCAATAACTATATACCAGTTTAGTTAATTTTTTAACATTTGTCAAATAGAAAGATTACAAGTCTACAAAAACAATGATAAACTCAATGGACTATGGCAAAAGTAATCAATGTATTGTTACCACTACCGATCAACCAGTTATTTTCATATACAGTGGAAGAAAATGTGGAAATTTCAATTGGAGATTATGTTATAGTACCGTTTGGCAATAAGCGTCTAATCGGTATAGTTTGGCAATACAGCGAGAAAATTGACCGCGAGCTGAAATCTATTGAACAAAGGATGGATTTACCAAGTGTTAGACAAAAGTTAAAGACATTTGCAGAGTGGATTTCACATTATAATTTGGTCCCGATTGGTATGCTTGCAAAGGTGATAATGGGAGGAGTGCTGAAGGTAAATAACCTAGACAAGTTAACTCACACAAAACAAGAAAAGAAGGTAAGTGAAATAAATTGCCAATTAAATAATGAACAGCAGGCAGCAAGTGATAGAATAATCAGAGATTTGGGCAGGTATTCAGTGACTGTACTTGATGGAGAGACAGGTTCTGGAAAAACGGAAGTGTACCTCTCTGTGATTACAGAATTGATCAAAAATGAAAATGATGCTCAGGTTCTTATACTTCTACCTGAAATCGTTTTAACATCGCAACTAGTAAATCGTATTCGTTTACGAATATCTAGCGATATAACAGAGTGGCACTCTGGTCTTACTGAAAAAACTCGTCGAAATAACTGGCTGAGCATAGCACATGGAAGTGCACAAGTGATTATAGGAGCAAGGTCGGCACTTTTTTTACCTTATAAGAATTTAAAATTAGTTATTCTCGATGAAGAACATGATTCATCTTTTAAGCAGGAACAGGGAATTATATACAATGCTAGAGACATGGCTATAATTTTAGCAAAAATTGAGAATATACCGATTATTTTATCATCAGCAACTCCACTACTTGAAACTGTTTATCACGTCAAACGCAACAACTACAATCATGTAAAATTGACTAAACGGTTTGGTAATGCAGAGTTGCCAGAAATCAAAGTTGTGGATATGAGAAATAGCAGACAATGGATTTCAACTGNTCTGGCCTTACTGA